AATGATCGTAGGTCCGCATATATTGGCATCGTATACTTGCACTTATCTTGGCAAGTATACACGCACCGCTAACTATATGACCAAGCAAGTACAGCTTTGCAGTAGATCTGAGTAACCTTTTTTTTATCCAGTCTTACTTCGGAGTTGAAACTAGTGTTTGCTCTAAACAGGATCAACAGCTCCGAGGCTCTGATCATACTAAATAAAAGATCTTCACAAAAAAAAGTCTAGCTTATAACACTTTTAGATAAATAATGCTCTACTGTTTGCAATCCTCCGTGTGTTAAATATGATTTACGGATACAGTTTTACAGTCTTGGCGAGTTTAGGACTCGAAGATACAGGTCACTGGGACGCAGACATACTCGTGTCAAAAAGTTCAAAAAAATAAAAACGTCAAGTGTCGAATATATGTACTCAAGAGTCAGAAAAGAAAAAAATGGTTGGACAGAATCAGCACTGTCATTAATCTTCTCGGATACAACTACAGTGCGGTACACAGAGGAGAACTATAGAATGACAGGTGTCATTCGGTGTCTAGTAAGTTCATTACAATAAATGACATGTATTCAAAACTTACGTGTGAATACATAAAACTCGTGGATGTACATACGTATAAAACCCTCAGTAGAGGTGTGAATAAAGTTACTTTGCACTAAGTATATTATATGTTTCTATATGTTAAAACATGTTGTGGGTCTAAGATTTATGGCTAGCCTACTACAAATATCTGGCGAGTACATACAATGTATCAAACACGCAACACATTCAGCAATCAACGACAACATTTGCTCGCATCAACGACGACATCTGATTACAAGGTACTCAAATCACGCGTATAAATTAATCAACACCATGCCTTCCATCGATTATCTTTGATACTCCCACTTTTTTCGCTTACCTCGAGGATGTATTATATGTTTCTATATGTTAAAACATGTTGTGGGCCTATGATTTATAGCTAGCCTATTACAAACATCTGGCGAGTACATACAATGTATCAAACACGCAACACATTCAGCAATCAACGACAACATTTGCTCGCATCAACGACGACATCTGATTGCAAGGTACTCAAATCACGCGTATAAATTAATCAACACCATGCCTTCCATCGATTATCTTTGATACTCCCACTTTTTTCGCTTCCCTCGAGGATGTACACGAGTTTGCTGCCAGCCATTGGCTCGGTTGAATCTAGTATGAGACACTCACCGAAGCCAGCAAGGACCTCCTCGATATCCATACCATGTCACGAGAGTTTGGTTTTGATCCTATTGGTATACCTATAACAACAGGACAGCTACTGGCCCACGTTGTGTGCTCCAGAGTTACTATCGGACTTCTCGGTGCCCGTGAAGAGGTCACCAAGGACAAAGTCCGCAAATACAAACAGAAGGCAATAGACGAAGAGTATGCACGCAACCAGAAGCACGATCAACGTCTAAACGCAGAATGCGAGCTCACCGTCACCAAAGTTCGCCTTGCCACTGCCAGTAACAAACGACAACAGTGCGAAAATCAACTACCTGCTACAGAAGCTCATCTTCACCAGGTGGAAGAACTTTTTGACACTACCCAGACACCCGATCGTCTCACCGCCGAATTCCGAGGTGAAGTAGCTGGGTTACGTGCTGCACTCAAGGAAGCAAATGACCATATTGATGTCCTCAAGGTACTTCGACTGGCCCCGAAATCAACCGCTGAGCGATATGGCATCACTTCCAAACCACCTGCCCTTCCCGTCAAGGACTAACTAAAATACAAAGATGTCTACTACGGCGAGAAGCTGAAAGGGTGACTTCGGTAACTGGCTTACTAGCTTATGCATGGAATTTATACACTATGGTGTCCTCCATCCTTGTCACCCCAAATGAAACGATACCGCATTCGAGGGAGGTCCAGACCCCGCCGCAGACTCGAAGTGTCGACGTATACTCATGCACTCCATCAGCGAGACCCTGTTGACCTCAGTATACAAGAATCACATGACCAAATCATATCTGTGACACTACTAACACGGGTAGCCATGGTTTCTGGGGCGCACTAAAAAACCTCACAAGCTTCACTTCCGTGGGTTCTCATGACACCACCCTCCAGGACCTGAAGGAGATCCGTCAACACTTACTGGACGTCGGTGAAAACATTCTTGACAAATACTTAATCGAGAATTACTATTTACTCTCTGCTTATATATATAACAATGACATTGACGAACTCACTATCAATGAGGTTTATCAAAAGGTGCTCAGGTTTACCGGCGACAATCAACTCGACTCGTCACTGCCACCATCCGGTCTAATAGCCGTTGCACCCATCATTGACAGTAATACTCGACCTTCAACTACGAGTCACGGCACCCAAGATGGCTCCAACCAAAAGAAAGCACGTCCCAATCGCCCACTATGTGACACACCAGACCAGAGCATTTTTGGATGTCCTGATTCCATCTGTCAACGATGCGGTTCTTCCACTCATAAAGGGAATAAGTGCCCTGTCGACCGTTCTACACGCTCGTGCGCAAAATGCGGCAAAGGAGGCCACACCGACACTGCCTGGATGAGCAAGTAAAACCACGGGGTCCCTCGTGGTCAGACCAGCACTATCAAATACTCGAAATAAAGCGGATCCCCTTACTTTAGCCGCTCACTATCGTATAGAATATGCAGTTTACTAAGATGGACCCATATTCACTCCAAATCTCGCCACTACCCTAATAGACTCTGGTGTAATGATACACATCCTTAACACTACAGAAGACGTCACACACTTAGTAGAGTTCCCGGACAAATCACAAATGACATTAAAGCAGCGTGGCCTCCTGCCAGGATTAGGGCACGCACTCATCATGCCCCAAGCTTCGCAAAATAGATTAGCCGCCTGCATACTAAAATGCCATGGATTCGGCAACAACTTTCCCACCCAAGCAATGGCCTCCTCTCTCACTGAGTGCTACTTCCCTATCTAAATATATTGGCTCGCATTGAATCATGTTGATCAATTTATTGAGCCATGGATCTTTACTCCGTAATGGGCAACACAACGTGATGGTAGCTTTATGTATATGAACATAATTTAATAGCTGGGCAATTAACTGCCATGGTGGATTAGCCCACACATTATGTTGGGAGAGGTCTATTTGAAAGGCGTCTCCCATAGGATGATTTAAAGTCCTGTAATTTGATAGTTGTGCATTATGATGTGCAGCAAACATATCTATGATATGTGGCCCAAATATCTTTTGAGCTAGTTCAAAGCACCTGGGATTACATTTCCAGTCAGTGGCTAGTAACTCACGTACGGATTTATTAAAGTCCGGTACGAAGCGTGATAACATATCCGGTAAATGGTTATGTATTCCTGGCAGATGTTTTATATCAAAATGAAACTTTGATATTGTATTATGCCAGCGACTCAGTAATTGTGAGTCGGGTTTCATCTCTTTCATATATTGAAGAGATTTCTGATCACACATCAACGTAAATGCTGTTCCGTATAAGTAATCTCAGAAGTGTGTTAGACCTGCCACTATGGCTAATAGCTCTTGTTTAACAGTTGGATAATTCAACTGTGAAGCATTCATTGCTCGACTAAAGAATTGTATATATCTAGGTTTGTTATCTATAGCCTGATATAATACTCCTCCTAAGGCTAAGTCTGATGCGTCCGTTGCTATTTCAAACGGCACACCATCGACTGGCCCTTGTACAACTGGGGCTTGTTGGACTGCGTGTTTGAGCGCTTTAAATGCGTCATCACACTCTTTAGTCCACAAGTCTCCTAGTTTGCCTTTATGACATCTTAAATGTCCACAAGGTTTCAGGTAGTCAGCTAGGTGTGGTACTACGTCTGAAAAGAAGTTTACAACCCCACACATGCTGTCAACATCTCTTCCTGTAGTTGGTGTTCGCCAATCTAACAGGTGTTCTACCTTACCGGGGTTGATCTTAATACCTTCCCCAGATATATGGTAGCCTAAGAGCTGTGTTTCGCTCATTGCGAAGTGGCATTTCTTCTTGTTAATCTTGAAGTTTTGCTCATTGAGTCTTTTAAGGACTCGTCTGACTAATGCGGCGTGTTCGCCTGTAGTCTTAGAAAAGATGACTATGTTATCTATATAGACTTGCACTTTAGGCATGTCTGCAAACATTTCTTCCAATACTTGTTGGAAGAATCCTGATAGAGATTGTAACCCGAAAGGTGCACCTCTGAACCGGTATTGTTTGCCTTTCCACGTAAAGCTAAAGTATTTACGGTGGGGTTCATATACCTGCATTTGATGGTATCCTTGTGTAAGGTCTATAGTTGTAAACATTGTAGCACCTTCCATCCTTCGCAGTAGCTCGTTAATACGAGGTAAGTGGAAGCTATGAGTCGGCAATAATTTATTTATTGGACACATATCTAAACATACTCTGACTTTCTTAAACGATCCGTCAGAGTTA